CCCCCCCCCCCAGCATCTGCTGCGAGTCCCTCTTCTCCCTCGCCCCACCAAAAACCTCCCTCCGGATTCTCTATGAAAGGTGATATTGTACCGGCCCTTTCGCGGGCAGTGAACGTGCGGAGGACGGGGGAAGGACGCCTCTGGGCGCCGGGACTCTGCCACAGCCACAACGGAGGAGAGCAGCGCCACAAAAAAAAAGAGGGGGCGGGCGGGCGGAAGGGCACGGGCACGAGCAGGTGCAAGCACATTCCCAGAGCGCCCCGGCGTCAGTGTGTAGCATGACACTTAGGAAGACAAGGAGGGAGCAGCCGGGGCAGCAGTGCGCCCGTGCAGGCTGGCAAAGAGCTCACGCTCGCGGGCCTCGGTCCACATGGTGGCCACGGAGGCCGTGTCGCTGAGCAGCGTCCCGGCCGAGGTCAGGTCGCCCTCGGAGGGGGCATTGCCTTTCCGGAGACCCCCGGCCTTGGTGAGATCCAGCTCGCGGTCGCTGGCCAGCGTGGCCATCCGGTAGGTGGGGGCCTGGCGCGGGGTCGGGACGCAGAAGTTCACCAACTTCGGGTGGATGTCATGGCGAATGCGCCGGCCCTTGCTGGCCTTCTGGTCGACCCCCTGGCGGCGCTGCTTGGCGCGGCGCTTCTGCTCCTCGGCCCGGGCGGAAAGGGCCGAGCTGAGGCGCGCGTCGTCCGCCCCCACATCGGTGGCCGCCCCGGTGGGGCCCACGCGCGAGGCCAAGAAATCCTGCAGCAACGAGGCATAGAAGTCCCCATCGTCGATGAGCTGGTCATCATGCTCATCGACCGAGGAGGGCATGGTGTCTCCCGTCGGCAGGGTGTCAGTGCCGAAGGTGTACATGGTGGCCAGGGACGCGGCCGGCCGGCGGTCCAGGCGCAGGCGCTTGACCAGGCGGTCGCGATCGGCCGCCAGGACGGCGCTCACCTGCTCCGGGACACTCTGGAGAGGATGGGAGGTGCAAACGCAGGGTGGTCAGTTCCATGCCCCGTGAGGGCTCGGCGCTTGTAGGGGTCCCCCCCGCCTCCCCTCCTCCCAAAAGACACTCGATCGGGGATGGGAGGTGTCCTTCCTGACCAGGAGGGCGGAAACAGAGGTCCATCCGAGGAAGGGCAGGAGGTGCATACCTTGTGAATGGCCTTCAGCGGCCCGGAGCCCATGCCGGCAGTGGCGATCTGCGCCCGGCTTGACCAGTGCTCCAGGGTCTCTTCCATGTGCGGAGCGGCACTGCGCAGACAGACATCGCCAGATGGGCGGGTTTCAAGGGGGAGGATTGCGTGTCAGATATGTGGGCTCCCGCGCGCGCGCGCGCGCGCGCATGCGTGTGCGCGTGTGTGTGTGTGTGTGTGTGTGTGCGCGTGTGTGCGCGTCTCGACACAAGACCAAATCCGGAGGCAGGCGAACGCATTCTCCGACAGATGGCGCGCGAGAAGGAGGCAAGCCCAAAAGTACGCACATGGCAGCCACCTCGGACGCCAGAGCGCGCAGGGCGTCCGGCGAGTCGTCAGCCGGGCGCTTACCACGCAGGTCAGCCACCGCCTCCGGGCCGATGCCGGCCGTCTGCGCCAGCAGGTCCACCTGGATGTTGGCGATGTCCCCGAGAAGACCAGCCAGCTCGGTGCGCACGGCGGCCGCCGCACTGGTAAGCCCCTCGGTCGCGGCGCCCTCACCCTCCGACGGGAAGAAGTGGCCCCACATGTCCGGCGGGGGAAGGCGCCCGGAAAGGGTCACGCAGCGTTGCAGGCGAATGCGCAAGTCCAGCGACCGGTTCCAAAGGGTGGTCTGGTTCATGACATGCTTGCCCTTCTGGGCGTCGGCCACGGCCTGCTCGGCGAAGATGGAAATGGACGAGCTAAAAAGCGGGAAAGATAGAGGGGCGGGGGGGGG